GCGGCCGGCCGGGGAGGGCAGGCCGGGCTGCCTAGGCCTCCGCGCAGGCCGCTGGTCAAGGTGGGCGACCGCGAGCGGGACGAGGCCCCGGCGCGGGGGAAGAGGTCCCGGCGGGCGTGCGCGAGGTCGGCTGCCAGGCTCGAGATGGTACGGGGAGGCTGGCGGGTGGACCCCGGGCGGCGGCGGCGCGCCCCTCGCTCGCTCTGGTCTGTACGCCGCGCATCCCCGCGGCCGGCGCATGGAACTTGGTGCCCGTGGTGATGCGACCCCGAGCTCCGGTGTCTGTTCGCAGCTCCAGGGGAGACCCCTTGACTGTCTTTGGAAGGCGGCGCACAACCAGCCCCGGGCGGGCCTTGCCGGTCGGTGCGGGAGCCTCCGGGTGCTCACTGAAGGTCCGGGTCCCCAGGGGTTCCGCCGGGAGGAGGAGGACAGGCCTTTTGGGTGGCGCTCTTCTCTGGGTCGGCCCTTGCACATCTGGATCCATGGGCTCCTTCTGTGGGGCACTTCCCAGAGGCCTGCATGCCGGCCTGGCTCAGGTTGAAGGGACAGCTCCGGTGTGGGCCACGCTGGGCTGCCTCTGCACAGGGGAGTCCCTCCCTAACGGCCACCGGTCCCCTCTCCCACCTTCAGTTCCCTTTCTGTGGCATGTGACATCTGCTTTACGGGTAAGAGAAACAGATGGTCCTGTGGTCTGCAGTACGCTCCGACAAGCAACAGGTGCTTCAGAGGGTTAACTCCCTGTCCCCAGGAAAGGGGACAGGGACCTTGAGTGAACACATTCTTCATTGCCTCAAAGTGCCTGTCATGGTGTGACATACAGTGACAAAGAGGAAATGGGTGGTTGTATGTCCTGGGTAGAGTTTACCTTCCTGTTTGCCTTACATTTGGTCTGTTAATAACCAGCTCTTATCAAAGAGGATAATAGTATTGAACAATTGTTTGTTCTAGGTCATTAGGGTGTGAACACAGCAGTGTAGTAGACAGGCACCAACAGGTCCTTGTTCCTGAGGAACAGAGAGATCAAGTAACTTAGTACAGGTCACAGAGCAGTAAATTATGGAGCAAGGATTTGAACCAAGGCAGTGCAACATGAGTCCCATTGTTCTTTTTTGCCTTATTGGGGATGAACATGGCCTTACAAATGCAAGGCAAGCACAACTCTAGCCCCAAGCTCACATTCTTTCCATCATTTCTTTTGAGGCAGGATCTCATGTAAATCTGGGTGGCCTCAAACTAGGTCCATAGCCGAGGATGACCTTGAACTTCTGATCCTTACCTCTACCTCTGGAATTTTGGATTATGGGCATGCACCTCTGGCAAGTTCACATTCTTTTTTAAAAAGTGTTTTATTAGCATATATTAACTATACATAAGAATGGGTTTCATTAAGACATGTCAAACATGGGGCTGGAGAGATGGCTCAGCAGTTAAGAGCACTGACTGCTCTTGCAGAAGACCCAGGTTGGATTCTCAGCACCCACATGGTAGCTGCGAACCATCCTTAACTCCAGTTCCAGGGGAATCTGAAGCCCTTTTTTGACCTCCACGGTATTGCATGATATGGTTGCATTCACATACATGCAGGCAATACACTCATACACATAAAATAAAAATAATAAATAAAATACACGTTGCCGGGCGTGGTGGCGCACGCCTGTAGTCCCAGCACTTGGGAGGCAGAGGCAGGCGGATCTCTGTGAGTTTAAGGCCAGCCTGGTCTACATAGTGAGTTCAGGACAGCTGGGACCACAGGGAGACCCTGTCTCCAAAAAAAAAAAGACCTGTCAAACATGTATGTAATTTTTTAACATCTCCTCCCTGACCGTTACCCTTACGTGTCCACTTCCTCAAGTTCACCATTTTTTTATTAAAAATTATTTTATTTAATGCATCTTAACATTTTTATTTATATGTGTATGTGCACATGTGAACATCAGAGGACAACTTGTGGGAGTTGGTTCTTGCTTTCTACCATGTGTGTCCTGGGGATTGAACATAGGTCATCAGGCTTAACAAGTGAGCACCTTTACTTAATGAACCATGTGTCTGGCCTATAAGTTTACAATCTTATTTTGTTTTTTGAGCTAGGGTTTTCTTGTAGCCCTACCTGGCCTAGAACTCACTAAATAGACCAGACTGGTCTCAATCTCACAGAGATCTGTCTGCCTCTGCTTCCCAAGTGCTGAGATTAAAGGTGTGTGCTACCATGTCCAGCTGTATGTAAGTTCACATTCTTTTTTTTTTTAAAGTTTTTTTGAGAGGGTTTCCCTGTAGTCCAAGCTGACCTGGAACTTGCTGTAGACCAGGCTGGCCAAATCTGCCTGCTTCTGACTCCCAAGTGCTAGGATTAAAGGTGTGCACCACCAAGCCCTGCAAATTTGCATTATTATTATTTTTTTTGTCTCCCTGTCTCCCCAGCTGTCCTGGAACTCACTATGTAGACCAGGCTGGCCTTGAACTCACAGAGATCCACCTGCCTCTGCCTCCCGAGTGCTGGGATTAAAGGCATGTGCCACCATGCCCGGCTATACATTCTTTTTTTTTTTGAAAAAATGAATGCACCTGTGTTATGCTGTGCCCTCAGAGGTCAGAGAGGGCTTTGGATCCCCTGGAACTGGAGTTAGGGCCAGTTGTTGGCTGCCATGTGGGTGCTGGGAATGGAACCTGGGTCCTCTACAAGAGCAGTCGGTGCTCTTAACCTCAGAGCCATCTCTCCAACCTCAAGTTCACATTCTTTTTTTTTAATATTTTATTTATTATTTTTATTTTATGTGTATGTGTATCTTGCTTGCATGTAGGTTAAGTGCACCTGTGTCGTGCAATGCCCATGGAGGACAGAAGAGACTATCAGATCCCAAGTTACAGACAGTTGTTAGCTGCCATGCGGGTGCCGGGATTCGAACCCAGGTCTTCTGCAGGAACAGTCAGTATTCTTAACTGCTGCACTATCTCTCCAGCCCCTCTTTTTTAAAAATATTTTATTATTTTTATTTTATGCGTATGTGTGTACTGCCTGCTTGTAGGTAAGTGCACCCATGTCATGCAATGCCCGCGGAGGACAGAAGAGGCTGTCAGATCCCCTGGAACTGGAGTTACAGACAGTTATAGGCTGCCATGTGGGTGCTGGGATTCCAACCTGTGTCTTCTGCAAGAACAACCAGTGTTCTTAACTGCTGAAACATCTCTCCAGCCCCAAGTTCACATTCTTTTTTTTTTCGGTCTTTTTGAGAAAAGGGTCTCCCTGTAGCCCCAGCTGTCCTGGAACTCACTATGTAGACCAGGCTGGCCTTGAACTCACAGAGATCCCCCTGCCTCTGCCTCCAGAGTGCTGGGATTAAAGGTGTGCGCCACCATGCCTGGAAAGTTAAATACTAAGATTTTTTTTTATAATCCAAGTGCTTAGAAAGCTGAGGCAGGAGAATTGAGGGTTTCAGACCATCCTGGACTACAGAGTGAGGCCCTGTGTCAAAACAGAAATAAAAAAAACCCCTCAAAACCCATGAGATTTTCACTTTAGAATTTTCTTGAAAGAGTGGTACTTGGGCTGTGTGAATGTCGGATTTTGTTTCTTGTCCCCCGTGTAGCAGCTTTTCATTTTTTGTGAGGCTGAGTGTTTATAAAATAATTTTGTTTCCTGTGGATTGATGTTGTTCCCCATCTGGCTATTGGAGATTTGCTGAAATACCCCACCTGCTATGCAGTACTCTGTTGCTATATAGGATTGTGATGTTGCTGTGAGCAATGGTCAAGTTGGAGGGCTGGAGGTTATCACTGGTCAAGTGCAGGGCTTTCATTTCTGCAGGTTTTGCAAGAGCATCTTATGATGAGTATTAATGCACACAGAACTGTTGTCTTCCCTTTCCCCACCTCTCTCTCTCTCTCTCTCTCTCTCTCTCTCTCTCTCTCTCTCGGTCTCATGCGCATTCTCAATTTCTCCTTCTGTTAGACAGGGTCTCACTCTGTCCCACAAACTTGCCACCCTTCTGCATCAGCCTTTCAGTGCTAGGGTTGTAGGTCTGCACCAACATGCCTGGCTCCGTTTTTCTTAGTGTTTATGGCCTGTCATCGGATCTTGATCCTCATGTCACCTCCCCATACCTCTGAAGTGCAAACAAGTGAGTCTTGGATGGTCCTTAAAATTTTCTCTCCTTAGCTGGGCGTGGTGGCTCATGCCTTTAATCCCAGCACTCAGGAAGGCAGAGGCAGGTGGATCTCTGTGAGTTCAAGGCCAGCCTGGTCTACATAGTGAGTTCTAGGACAGCTGGGGCTACAGGGAGACCCTGTCTCAAAAAGCCCCCCCCCCCCGCAAATTTTTTTTCTCTCCTTGTGAAGTCTTGTTACTCAAAGGTAATTGAAAACATGACATTTCTTTAAGATTTATTTAGTGTTGGGCTATAGAGATGGTCATCAGGCAAGAGTCCTGGCTGCTCTCGCAGAGGACCTAGGTTCAGTTCCCAGCCCCACATGGCAGTTAATAGCCTTCACTCCAGTTCCAGGTGATCTAATGCCCTTTTTTAAAAAATATTTATTTTTATTTTATGTGTATGCGTATATTGCCTGCATGTAGGTAAGTGTACCCATGTCATGCAATGCCTTTGGAGGACAGAAGAGGCTGTCGGATCCCCTGGAACTGGAGTTACGGACAGTTATTAGCTGTCATGTGGGTTCTGGGATTCGAACTCAGGTCTTCTGCAAGAACAGTCAGTGTTCTTAACCACTGAGCCAACTCTCCAGCCCCCCAATGCCTTTTTCTAACCTCCATGGGCATTGCATGACATGAGTACATTTACATACATGCATGCAATACACTCATACACATAAATATTTTAAAAAGATTGTGTGTGTGTGTGTGTGTGTGTGTGTTTGTCTGTGTGTCTTTGTGTATGGAGCTCAC